AATATAAACTTTCTTTATCTAACTGGTTGATTGTGACAAGATCAAGTTGGGACTTATGAAAAACTTTGTTAAGAAATTAGACAACGAGTCTGCTGCATTTCAGCACCTGCGCAATAAATTGCTAGGCATAATTTATTCAAAGGTAAAAGAAGGTGTGTTCATTGGTCCTCAAATAAATAAAAAATTATGGCTGATAAACACTTTCATTACATTCTAAGTGTTATTGAAAAAGATGTGTGGGTGGGTTTCAATAACACTTAGTCAGTCATGAAGTTAGTCGTAAACAATTTCTTTGTAAATAAGAATTGAGCTGACTACGTGAATGTTGTACAAAAATGCATAAATGCGTATAAGCATCTTGGCTGCAATATGTCTCTGAAAATTCATTTACTCAACTCGCATTTAGACTTCTTCCCAGAAAATCTTGGTGCAGTCAGCGATGAACACAGCGAGTGCTTCCACCAGGACATTTTGGTGATGGAGTCATGCTATAAGGGTCGGTGGAGTGTAGCAATGCTAGCAGACTACTGCTGGACAATTCAGCGTGATTTAAGAACTAAGAAGTATAAACGAAAGTGAAAAAATTTATACCGTGAACATGTGTAACAAATTTTTTATTATATATATATATATATATATATATATATATATTATATATATATATATATATATATATATATATATATATATATATATAATAAAAAATTTGTTACACACACACACACACATATATATATATATATATATATATATATATATATATATATATATATATATATATATATATATATATATATATATATACATATAATTATTTTTTTTTATTTTTTTTTCAGTTTACATTATTAGAAGAAGATCATATCGATCTTGTCGCCAGAACCATATAAAAATTACAATATAAATATAATATAAAATAATACAGGTAGTTTATAACAAAATAAGGATCCAAAACATTTGAAATAAGTAATGGTTAAAATAATATCTCAAAAATATTTCAATATATTATCCGTAGAAAAAATAATATTCTTTAACTTGTTTTTAAAAACAGAAAAAGAGATAGATGAATCTAAATTAGGCTGTACAATTTTATTCCAGATATAAGGTGCTCGATAATCTATACAAAATTGATTAAACTTTGTTTGAACAAAGGGTTCTTTTAAATAGCTATTATTTCGCAAACTATATTTATTCTTTACTTTAAAGGTAAATAGATCTTTAAAAACATGAAATAAAGGGTTATTCATACAGCAAAACGTAAAACATAAAATATTGTACAAGTTAAGTTCATAAACGTTTAATACATTCATATCTTTAAATAGAGGTTTTGTATTTGAAAAACGATTTAAAAAATATATTATTCGCATTTCATGTTTCTGATGGCGGTAAAGACCTTGCAACTTACTTTTACCTGTACTTCCCCAGGCAATATTTGCATAGTTTATATAGCTATGAATAAATGAGTAGTATAGTTGTTTTAAATTATTTTTATTTAGATAATTTCTGGCCTTATTGAGGATACCAATACTTTTTGCAACTTTTGTTGATATATAATCAATATGAGCTTTCCATGTCTTATTTTCGTCAAGATAAATACGAAGGAATTTTAAAACGTAATCTTTTTTTATTTCTACTTCATCAAAATAAAGTTAGGTAAATCATAAGCCAAAAAATGTTTTTTTGTTGAGGAATGGAAAAGAATCCACTTTGTTTTGTTAATATTTAAGGTTACTATATAATTTATTGCATTTAAACCAATTAGAAACTTGATTAAGTTCTTTATTCATATCTAAAAAAAGTTTGTTAAGGTCTTTGTTTGATAAAAATAAATTGGTATCGTCAGCAAACATGATGCTCATAAGATTCGAGGCCTTATTTAGATCTTTGACGTATACTAAAAAAAGAAGTGGGCCAAGGATAGAACCCTGTGGAACACCACTTTTTATTTCAATTAATGTATTACTTTGAAGATCAATAGGAAGCAATTCTTCTCCGTGGTAGACGAATTGCTTTCTATTTGACAAGTAGCTTTTATACCATTTGATCATTTTACCAGTTATTCCGTATATATATATATATATATATATATATATATATATATATATATATATATATATATATATATATATATATATATATATATATATATATATATATATATATATATATATATATATACATATATATATATATATATATATATATATATATATATATATATATATATATATATATATATATATATATATATATATATATATATATATATATATATTAACTTCTATATATTCTAATTACGCGATGGTTTTTCTTGCAAACACAATTTTTACTTATAAATTTTTTTTTTGGTCTTTTTTTTATATACTTTCTCTTACTTTTATTGCAAAATAAACTTACAGTTTTAAAATATACAATGACTAAAATATTTGCTTTTAAAATAAAGAAAATTTTTTATTTTCTTGCAAAGGTTTAAAGAGCATATTTTCTTAAAATCAATTGCAAAGTTATAATGTTAAGCAAAAAAACAATTCAACTTAATGACGTATTAAAAAAATTCTAACTTTTAAAACTTTTAATATTTTTTTTTAGCTCCTTTTAAAAAATTTAGAGAATCTGATCACTTTTTAAGTTCCATTCACGAATTTGGTTTGATCTATTTACCAAATGATCAATTCCATTCACCATTTTGATTTGATCAATTCCATTCACCAATTTGGTTTGATCACCAATTTGGTTCGATCACCATTTGGTTTGAACAACTCCATTCACCAATTTTATTTAATTTATATGTTCTGGATTAAGCTCAAACGCAAAAATTAAAGTTATAGTTGTCAAAACTCAAAAAATTTGGTTGAAGGCTTTTAATTTTTTGATTTTTTATTTTGGATTTAAACCTCAAAATAAATAGAATTTATAGATTTTTATTAGAAAAATAAAATTAGTGAGGGCGACATTTTTGTTCTTGCCTGCAGCATAAATTTATTGAAATCCTAACTACTATAAACATTTGCACCACTGCAGACTTTTTCTTTACATTTTTAAGTCTTTTGCTGACTTATTTTTATATATGTGGCATTTTCGGTATTAGGTATATAGCCTCAACTGTACTTGAAACTAAAAATTAATTTCTGTTTAGTCTAATAAAAACTGTTTACAATTTTTCTTGAAGAAAACGCATGCGATAAGTTTAGTTTTTGCATTATCTTTGCATTTTAATCATAGGCTTTTAAGATTTCGAATGTTTTTAGTGCAGTTGATGCAACTATTCAAAACTTTCTACAAAATTAATTTGTTTAAAAAATATTTTCTACAAATTGATTGGTTTAAAAAACATTTCGCAAGCCAAAAATAATTTTGAAACTAATGAAATATTTTTTTATATTTTAAGGATGATTTGTAGAAACTAATGCAACTGCTATTATATTATTATGTGATTGGTTAACAACATTTTTTAGCCAATGATTTATGATTAAAATAATTACTATATCAGTTGCTTTAAGTAATTTGAAAAATGTGCAAAGAAAATTAATTACAACGTAAAATTTTATTTTTATTTTTAACTTGATTAGAGCCAGAAGAAGACAAACTTAATTAATCACCCACTGGGTAAAAGAGGACAAACTTAGTCTTATCACCCACTGGGTAGAAGAAGACAAACTTAGTCTTATCAGCCAGCAAACTTATCAGTAAAAATATGAACTTAATTCTTGCTGAAGAAACGAGATAACTTTCTCTTCGATACATAAAGTAAATAAATAAAAAATGTTTCGTGATAGTGAGTTTGAAAGACCGATAAAGTTAGAATACCTAAAAAACAGTACTGTCCAAGAAAAAAGAATTCCATTTAAAATTTTGAATACGATTTTAAATATAAGGTATTGGTTCATGTAAAATATTGATTTTATTTGAGAATTTATTCCTAATTTAAAAATTTGGTTTTATGGGTCCTAATTTTATTATACAACGGAATTTTACTGTAATACTTAGTTGAAATATTTATCAGATTTAAAATTAATCGACGGTTTTCTAATATTATAGTTTAATAATCAACTTGGTTTATTAATAGAAAAGCTAAATTAAAAGTATTTACAAAATAAACTTTTTGTAACATTTACTGTCATTTAAAAAATAAATTTTTTAAAGTTTATATTGAAAGCAAAAGCGGCTTGTTTCATTTTTTACATTTTGAGATAATCAAATTTGTTAAAGCCCAACATAATGCAAGTTCTCCTATCACATAATATGGAATATAATATTATATAATATAATATCACATAATATGAAATCGCAAAACATACTTTGTGTTGGATTTAAACAAATTTACTTTAAAAGAAATAATATTTGTGATTCAAAATCTCAAATTGTAAAAAAATAACTAAGAACATTTTTGCTGCAGGCTGTCAATATACTACTTATAAATAATCATTGAAGTTTGATAACATTCTCTCAAAATTAACTAAAATCACTTTCTTTCTTAAAACTTAATCCTGGATCCCCAAGAAAACCTTATTGTTAATATTTTATCTACATAAGATTAGAATATTTTTGTCAAACTTTTTTTTATATCGAATAATATCAATGGTTATAAGTCATCTTTTTTAAAAAAAGAATAATGTTAAAATTGTTATTTAATAATGTTAAAAGTGTTATTGGTCTGTTTTTCAATAGTTTTAAAATGTTTTATGCAATGAAAGTTTTTAACAGTTAAAAATTTTATCTTTACACATTTGCGTTAAAGTAGTAAGTTGTTGCTAAGTTACTTGTTTGTTTATAAGTAAAAAATCAACAATAAAATGTTTTTAAATCTTTATTTCCATAATAAAATGGCTATTTTTACAAAAACGACACAGAACGCTTATTTTTTTTAAAAAAAATCTTTTTACTCATAACACAAATGCATCTGATATATACACACACACACGAGTTTTGAGTTTCTTGCGTTTTTTACACAAACATTTAAAATTGAGGTTTAGCCGTTTTGAAAAAAATAGAGTTACACAAAGTTTGAATGTGACAGTTTATTTTAAAAAAATCTCAAGAAATAAAACGTACAATTGAATAAAATCCTACTATAATTTAATACCACATAAAACGTACAAACACATACGAATGAATATAAGCTAAACGTATCGGGACACTCTTTGCTAATTATGTTACCTTTTGTATGTATCTCGTTAGCGGACCTTGATCAAATATTTATAGTTTTCTCTAAGTGAGTAAGTCCATTGTTCTTTATACAATCTATAAGTTATGTTTTGTGTTTTAAAGATTTTATAATTGCTTACGCTCAATAATGACTATTGGCTTGTCATCTTCATTTTCTAAATTAGATATTTCACTTCTCTTACGAAGACAGCATGGAGCTGGGCATGTTGAGATGCATTGAATTGCACAAATAGATGGGCAAGCTGATGGTGGGGGTGGTGGGGGAGGTGGACAGCAAAATTGTGGGCATGCCGGAACACAAGCAAACTGGCACACTGGTGGGCATGGTGGTGGGGGAGGTGGAGGTGGTGCTACTGGACAACAATATGAAGGGCATGTTGGAAGACAAATAGTATAACATTGTCTTGGACATGGAACTGCTGGTGGCTGAGGCAATCCTGGTGGTCCAGGGGGTCCAGGATAACCAGGTGGTCCAGGAGGACCTGCTGGTCCTGGTGGTCCATTTGGTCCTTGTGGTCCAGGTGGTCCATAGGCTCCGGGAGGACCTGGTGGTCCTGGTGGTGGAGGTGGTGGTCCTGGTTGACAACATACAGCTGGACATATTGGAGCACAAGAAAGACCACAAACTGCTGGGCATACAGAAACAGGTGGTGGTGGAGGTGGAGGAACACAACAACTTGGTAGACATTTAGGAGCACAAGAATTTGGGCAACCCATAATGCAATATCCTCCTCTTTTTTGACGTTCTAAAATGTACACGTAATAGAGTATAAACTAACATTGTTTCAGATTTAAAAAATTTAATAATTTTAAAGCGAAGTAATTAATAATAAATACAAAATTTAACCTATTAGACTACTTCCATGTGAAAATGAAATGGCAGCCAAAAGTGAGAGAAGAACCAAGTATAGCTTCATTTTCAATTATACTAAAAAAAAAACTATAATTTTAAAATAATTGTATCACTATTTAGATCAAAGTTGAATTCAATAATTTTTAGTATGTAATATATTAAGTTATTGTTATCGATTGCTAATTAATATTTTTTGATGTTATAATTTATGAAAGATAACTAAAAATTATCTTCTGTTATTATCTATAATTTTCAATTTTTATAGTTGATATAATTAACCATTGAAATAATTTAATAATGCAATTTAAGGAAATCATTTAACCAAGTTTACAACTTCTTTTTAATAAAAAAAATTACAACGGTTGAAAGATTATAAGTCGAATAGAAAATTTTTACGAAAAAGAATTCACGTACCTCAATTCGTTGTGCCTAATAAATCATCAGCGAATTTTTAGAAATCTTCAAAAACCAAGAGATCACTTCGCAGTATGATTTTGGTCAAACGCTGAATGTGCATCCAAAACTCAACCCTCCAGTTAACACAGTGCAACAAAAATCAAACTTTGCAGGTGCTAGAACTATGCAGCAAGTGCAAAACAGATATAGGAGTACTATTAAGTTCCTGATTGGAAATAGATAACAATAAGAATGGTTGTGATTGGACGTTTGATTTTGACACTAAGAACCTCTAATTATTTAAACGCAAAGACGTTTTTTTAAAGTTTGCGATTTAAAAAGTAGGGCAAATTTACGTTTAGGTTGAAAATTGTAAAAAACAAAAAATAAACACGAAGTGAATTGGTTCGATTACAAGTTAACTGGGTCAATTTAGTGACGGAATAAACTTAAATAATATTATTTAATCTTTTAAAAATAAATATAACTAAAAATTACATATATATATATCTATAATTCGCTTTTTTTAAAAGTTTTTAAAAGCATTCTCAATGTAGAAATCAAACTGTTACAAAACGGTTCGTGGGCATTTCAAGAGGCGGTAGCGTGTAATAATTCTAGGCACACGCCAAATTTTGTGTACACGCTTCATGATTTGTTCTGCGTATTTTTCTTAAATTATATAACCGCTTTATAGTAAATGTTTATATTGACGACGCATCTATGAAATGTTTGCTTTTTTTGTGCTGCCTATTTTTTATTTACAAAAGTTTGTTACGCAACTTTACAAAAAAAAAACGATACTCAAGCTTCTCGTTTGCATTTATTAAGGATTATTTATTGCACATTTAGGATGTATGGTTCGGAATCCTATAGTAAAGCTAAATTTGAATGAACTAAAAATGTTTACGGAAAAATATGTTCGATTAAATAAATTTGGAAACTTGCGTTTTGGCAGATATTTATGTAAGAATTAAACAATACATAAACAAAATAATTATTTTTCTAAAATAACTTTTCGTATCTTTAGAAAGTAAAAAACAAAATTCAAACTTGTTTAATAAAAATTTTGTTTGCATATTTTTTATTTATTCTACTGAACTCGAATTGCGATGGCTTCTTTCAAAGCTTTTTAACATGTTCGTATATAATTTATAATAAGTGAAACGTTACTCCTCATGAACCAATTAATTTCCAAAAAACTTCCGCTAAAATTAAATACTAGCTATAATAACCATATTTAAGAAATTTTTGAAGTGCAAACTTTAATTTTTTTAAATAGGTAAATTCTTTGTTTTTTTATTGAGTTACTTAAACCTAAATTATTTTACAAAGTTCACTTTGTCCGTTTTTTACCACTCTTCTCTATTCTCTTTGTTTTACTAATTCAAAGTAGAAATTTTGGCCTTATAATAGCAAAAATATTTGAACATTAACTATTTTGTCAAATATTTTTCTATGATTCTGTTATAGGATTCTTTTAGTCAAAACTAAGGAGCTTGACTAAGACAAATTGTGTCCAAACATTACCATGCATAAAGTCCAATACTTCACAAATTCGGGTCACTGTTATATAAGCTGTGATGATAACGCAAAAAAACAAACCTTTCTTTATGGGCATTTGTTTTTCAAAGTTACGTTGTAAATGTCTATTGAACGTTCTTTACGTAAGAATGTTTAGAAGACATTTAAAAGACATTTAAAATACATTTAGAACGTAATTTTTAAAAACAAATGCCCGCTGGGTTACATCTTCAACTTTGAATAAAATAAAAATCTTTTTTGATTAAACTTCAAAAAAAGGCTGAATAGGTTTTTATTGACTAAAAAACTTAAAATCGAACCCAAAACTCAACAAAAGAAAACTCATATCATACATGTTATGAATAAGGTATATATATATATATATATATATATATATATATATATATATATATATATATATATATATATATATATATATATATATATATATATATATATATATATATATATATATATATATATATATATATATGTATGTATATATATATATATATATATATATACATATATATATATATATATATATATATATATATATATATATATATATATATATATATATATATATATATATAATATACACATATAATCATATAATATACACATATAATCATATAATATGTATATATATTATATATACATATTTTTCAAGGACCGTTTTGCTCACGCCAAGCCTCTTTTATATGATATGAAAGCACTCAATATATATGAGTTGAATGTTTTTAATATTCTTTGTTTTATGTATAAATGCAAGACCCACCTATCACCCGTTTCTTTTCGTAACTTGTATTTACAAAAAGATAGAAATAAATTTATTCTAAGGAACGATAACTTAATTCGACAACCATTTTCTCAAACTAGTTTTGGAAAATTTTTTATTTCGTTTCGCGGACCATTTTTATGGAATAGTATAGTTCTAAATACTTCTAAAGGTTTTTCTCAAGACTGTAATTTTGATTCTTTTAAACAAAATCTTAAAAAACTCATTTTTTCAACTGAAAATATACTAATCTACTTTTAAATTTTTGAAAATCCCTTATCTATATTAGTATATGTATATATTTAATGTACATTCTTTTCTATTTATTTATTTTTTATCAACAAGCAATTATTTACCATGTTTTATTTTAATGAATTATTTAACATTTTAGTTTTTCCGTTTTAGAACACTTATATTGTAATATTGCATGTTTATTTATAATATTATATTTCGAACTTTATATACTTTTGTTATTAAATTTAATTTTGTAATAAAAAGAAATTGAACAAAAATAAATAAATATAAAGAATGAAAACATTGAAAAAAAAAAAACTAAACATTAAAAAAAAAAAACGTAAATATTGGTCTGTAACTTCTTTTGTTTAAAGCCCACCAACAAGATATATATTTTTGCTGATAACAAGATAAATTGCTGAGTTTGACGGGTATAACATTAGGTACTATTTTTATTGATGACAAGTTTCCATCATTAGGTCTGATTGCAAAACCATTGACGTTTAATATCAAATTAATGAAGTTTTTAGTAAACCTACCACTTGTTTTTCAATAGTTTTTTAGGCATTTTTAGGACTTCAAAAATGTGTTCCAGACTATTTTTAAACATTATCAACACATTTCACGTTTATAGGTACGCTAACCTGAAGTAAAGTAAATGTTTATAACTTGAAAAAAATATCATATTACAGCAGAAAATATTTCTTGCCAATAGCCTATTATGTGTATTTGTGTGATTTTTTTGTTTGTTTTTTTTTTAATTTTATTTTGGAAGAACACTACGGGTGAGCATCTAATAGGAAGGTCACGCCTCCTTCGCAACACAACAACAACAACAAGCTATTTATTTTCCGTAAATCATTTTACAATAGTTTTGATAATAATGATAATAATAATAATAATAATATTAATAAAAGCAAAAATATATAATAATAACATAAGATAAAAAAAATAATTATACAAATTATAGTAATAGTAATAATAAGTATGTTTACAATAATTGCAATGAAAAAATAATAATAACTAATATTAATATAATAATAAGTTAATGATTTATTAGGATGGTGTCACTCATACAGAAATCTGATCAAAGGAGTGACACCAATTTTTAATATAATATAAGTAATAATAAGCAAAGACATACATTGAGACACATGGACCGTAAACACACAAACCAAAGCACATAAAATATACATCAAAACAAACGTGTAGAAATCAATTTGCAGGTTTTACTAATAAAAAAATAAACAAAAAGTGCTGATGATAATTGTAGTAATTACGAAAAGAAAATTAAAATAATATTTAAACCATAAGGATAATAACGCAAAAAAGTTAGAATAAAAAGTTTTTCAGAATTTTTTTAAATTTTTTTGATATTGTTTAAGATGGAGTAAAGGTATTTTAGGATATATTTTTTTGGACTCATTCAAAATGCATGCAAGGCTCCTGTTTCATTCACAGATGCACTGATAAACAAAAGAACGTTTACCATACTTCTGGGTTTTAAAAGATGGTACATTTAGTTTTCCAACCAATGTCGTAAACTTGCCTAGAGGTGGGGTTTGAACCACCGACCTTTTTTTCTGAGGCAAGTGCGCCAAAGCTGCGATAGGTTGTTTCATTAGTGTTGAATTTGTTTCAAAATGATAACAAGTACCCAGTTTCATTTTTTCAGAATCTGGGACAAAGTGAGACTGAATTCAGTTTAAAAAAATAAGTAAAAATTTAATTTTCAAAAAAATTTAAAGCAATTTTTTGATAAATTAGATTTGAGTAAATATTAAAAATTCAAATCAAAACCATAAAGTTGTCATTTTATTCTATTACCATGTAATAATTAGGGATGGCAAAAATCCCGCAAATTTTCAATCCCGAGATTTCGGGATTGAGAAATTTGTCCCCGGGAAATCCCGGGATTGAATAAAAAAAAACGCAAACGCAATTAAACACTTTTTAAGCACTCATCAAACACTTAAAAATGATTAATTTAATGATAATATAACTAAAATATTAAATACATTAATTAACCTCTAAAATTAAGTAGAATTATGCTTTAACTTAATTTTGTATTAAAACTTATAAAAATAAAAAATAATATAAATATGCACGACGTTAAAAAAAACTTTCAAAAATCACTCATTTGAAAATTAAAATGAATGGATATAAAAATAGAATTAAAATCGCCTATACTTTTGGAAGCAGAAAATTCAAAATTAAATTAATGTATACTGTATAATGTATACAAAATAAAATTAATGTATAACTTCTATTAAAAACTCTTTCTCTTTTTACCAGCAAGCGCTTAAATTTTATTTATTTTTAAAATATACTAGTTTTAATATTATACTATATATTATATATAGTATAGTATTAAAACTAGTATATAAAAAAAATTAAAAAAATATAAGCGCTTGCTTGTGGAAAGAGCAAGAGTTTTTAATAAAACTTATATATTAATTTTATTTTATTAATATATTTTTAATTTTAATTATATATATATATATATATATATATATATATATATATATATATATATATATATATATATATATATATATATATATATATATAAACATATATATAAAAACATATATAAATTTTGCAGACAAGCAATAATGAC